GGTCTCACTACACAGATCGGACTCATAGTGATCCTCCTGTTTTCAGTCTCCTAAGCCCTGGGATTACACCCATGCCCAGTCTCAATCTGTGTCTGCCTAAGCAGGTGTTTCGTCCACTGAGCTATCTACCTTGATTTAGCTTCATTTTAAAGGTAAGCATGGTAAGGCACACATGAATTACGTGAGTGAGGTTAGCTCACAAGACTAATAAATATTAGAGTGAGGATACAAACCTGGGAGATCAGGCTATGAGGTTCTTGCCATGGAAAGCTAATGACCCCTGCCTGACTGAATAGAAAGCCTACTGGTATTAATTATGCACATCCCTCTTTTCTGGAATCTGAGCTTCACTTTGCAGAGTTCTGAGCAACCTGAAAGGGTTATATAGGACAGCAAGTCTCTAACTTCAGGCCAGTCAGATCACTTGGAGGGTTTGTTAGAACAAAGATTGTTAGGTTTCACCTCTAGAGATTTTAATCCTGTAAATTTGAGGTGGAGCCCAGGAATTTATAGTTTAATAGGTTCCCAGGTAAGACTTACGATACAGGTCTTGGGACTTTACTTTGAGAATTATGTATCTAGGTTGAGGCCCAGGTTTTCTACATCTGGAAGCTACTGAAATATAACAAGCCAGTATTTGCTTTGGCTATAATTGATAATAAGCAGAATGTAGTCAACATGTCACTATTTTATTTTAATTCTCACTGTGTCAGTAATTTTAGATAGAAGTGGAGTTTAGAATGATCTAGTGCAAAAACATCTATTTCTCAGGTCAGAGACAGCAGATTTAGGCTGATGGAAAGACCCTTGAAGGTCAGACCACATTCTCATGGACCCTGGCAGAAAACCAGGATTCCTGGTCCTCGTTGTCCAATGTATTTACTGAGCTCCTCCTTGCTGCCTTGACTGGGATGTGTCTTGGTCCCTTTTACTTCCTTTCAGTAGTGGGATAGGGGTTGTTGTGTCCCCCTAAAGTTACCTGTCATGGAGAAAGCAAGATTGTAAATTTCTCTAACCTGAAGACTATGAAATCATGGAGGTTGTGTTGTGCATCCTGCCAGAAGCTCCTGGATTTACATGCAGGGGGCCAAAGCAGTAATCATGAACCTCTAGGCACTGCCCCCTGCCTGACTGAATAGAAAGCCTACTGGTATTAATTATGCACATCCCTCTTTTCTGGAATCTGAGCTTCACTTTGCAGAGTTCTGAGCAACCTGAAAGGGTTATATAGGACAGCAAGTCTCTAACTTCAGGCCAGTCAGATCACTTGGAGGGTTTGTTAGACAAATTCACCCTATTTTGTTTTCACCAAATGTCACAATCTCTGTTGGTATTTAAGTGCTAGGAAAGTGACTGGAGGAAAAGTGGCCATTCTGAAGAGCAACAGAAGAAATTGGTGCTATAGTTCTGCCTCAAGCACTTTTAGGCTTTTGCTCTTTAGGAGAATCTCCAAAGTCCTTCCCAGCATACAGGTCCCTGACTCTACCATCTGAGGTGTATGTGTGTGTACATAATATGAGTTTTATAATATTGTACATTTAATCATTAAAATAAAAAGAAATTTAGTTTCTGAAATAAGAAATAATGTGTACATCTTGGGCATTTAAGCAGCATGTCTCGTACATACAACTACACACCCTTTCTCTGTGGTCTGGGAGGAAATTCCCAGCACTCTGGTACCATGTTTAAGCAACCCTTTTTCCCATGAGTTCAGTGTTCTATGCCTGTACACACTGAGACTCGTACCTTCAAGCAGATGACAGGCAGGGACATAGGGGAAAACATGCCAGTATAGCCAACAGGACGAAGGAGAATGGAAGCTTTTGTCACCCTGAGTCTCTTGGAGTCTTCTGACTGCAATTTCACTGCATAACCAAAGGATCAAAATATAGTCTAAACAGTCAATAGCAGCCTCCCTTTGGTATATCTTACGTAGGGATATGCAATTTTTGTGTGAGATTGAAAATACATTTTAATGAAAACATTTTCTCACCAACTTTACTTTTTTTTTTTTTTTTGAGACAGGGTATCATGTAGCATAGGCTGGCCTCATAGCAATCCTCCTGCCTCAGCCTCCTGGGTGCTGGCATTACAGGCATGCACCACCACGCTCAGCTTCCCAACAACTTTGTTTATTTGTTTTTTGTTTGCTTATTTTTGTATTTTAGTACAGGGTCTCACTATGTAAATCAGACTCCTAGTGATCCACCTGTGTTCAGCTTCCCAAGCGCTGGGATTATAGGCATATGCCCCCACATCCAGGCTCAATTGCCCTCTCAGTGTACCCCAGAGGCAGGGCTGGCACTGCACGCCACTGGGGATCAAACCTGGCCGCTTTGTCTGCCTAAGCAGGCACTTTAATCCACTGAGCTATTTGGCCAGCCCTTCCAACAACTTTAAATACAATTTGCATTTTTAAAATGTGAAGCTGTATGGTCAGGACTTGATCCTTCTGCCTCAGTCCCCTGAGTGCTGGGCTTCCAGGTGTCCACCGGCTTCAGATGCCATTGCACTATTAACTCCCCAGTACTCTTGAGGCACATGTTAGCCATATTCTCTTCTGTGGGAAATCCTTGCAGCAGCTTCAAAGGCTGGATTCTTATCAGAATCTTAACCACCTTCAGTTTTGCATTTACTGAAGGGATGTTTTTAGGAACTTGAAGAGTGTGTGCTTTTTCTAATCCAAGCATTTTTATTATATGTTTTTTCTAATACAATCGTCTTTTTGTACTTTTTATTCTGGCAACAATATGCAGTTTGTGAGGGCACTGTGGATCCCCACCATACTTTTCATGATCTTCAGGTGAAGGCTGAAACACTTTATCTGGAATTCTTGATTTGGTAACTTTGGGACAAGTACAATCTGTACCCAGGAGAGATTCCACACATTTTGTCCCAGTCTGCAGCCTGCCTGGGGGACTGTGAACCCCTGAGCACAAAAACCTGCCATAGCATCGTAATTATTTGTCTTCAGAGGTT